ATGCATTATTAATAAGTTTTATAATATTTGTTACTGTTTTTTTATTACAACAGGTATAAGTCCTGTAGCTGGAGCTGCTGCCAAACTAGAAATGATGTCGTGTGGTAAGGTTATTCCATTAACATTGATGCAAAAACTCGACGATGTAACAATTGGAGGTGGAAAAGTGTTTTGCTTCCTTCCTCTTCCTATTCATAGCGGTCTTCCTGTCCACATTAATGGATGCTTTGCAGTAGACGACAGTAGACGTCATTTACGTGAGCGTACAGAAGACGACAAATCAGACCATGGGGCAGAGTGGAACCAGGAGTTAATGAGTCAGGTCATTGTACAAGCATTCCTTGGTCTACTTCAAGATGCTAAGAGCAACTTTTCAGACGAGAAATATCACTTTCACACGCTCTGGCCCACAATCAGCAATTTAAAACCACAGTGGCATCATTTTGTCAAGTCTTTCTATAAAGCCTTATGCTCTCACGAGAAAGACCTTGAATTATTTACAGATGGCAAGACATGGTCGAGTATTGATAACATTGCCTTTCTGGATCCGTCTTTTAAAGATGATGACGAGATTGGAAGTGTTGCTTTTGACGTATTCAAAGCCGTTTCACCTGAATCAAAGGTCATTATTGACATGCCAGGAGCTGTTTTTCATACATTTGAATATTATGGTCTTGGTCCCTCCCTGCAGAAGTGCTGTTTTGACAAAGAACGTTTTTTTCGGGAAGTGGTGTTCCCTTTTCTTGAACTAATAGAAGAACAACAAAGAAACGCGCTCGTTTTATATGCTCTTGATGATCAAGATCTTCAATCTCTAGTACGAGAACACCGCTGCATACCCTCTTCGCTGTCTGGGAATCATTTAAAGTACCCTAAAGAATTGATTCATCCCAACGGTAGTGCAGCTCGCTTGTACGAGCCAGACGATGGTAAGTTTCCTTTCGGGGCGTTTTCAACTGAGGGACGTCTACTTAAACTTAAAAGTCTGGGTATGCGTGAAGATGAGCAAGAATGGGAGGAAATCCTTGAGAGAGCTCAAAGTGTTCAAGGTCAGCGTTGCTATGAACAATCTATTCAAAGGACAAAGTTCTTGCTAGAGTTCATTGGAAAAAAGCTTAAGCAAAATGATCAAAGTGATTCCTGTGGTATTAGGTCAAGCTTGCAACATACATGTTTTCTTCCCATTCTGCAAAAACCTCAGAGTTTCCCTTTTCGATGGAAGGGGAATGAATATCAGCAGACAACCTTCCTTTCAGCAGCCGAACTCTATCCCAAAGAGTTGAAGTACTTAGTAAGTGCGTCTGTGCCGATTCTAGATGATAGAAAAGTTAATGTTTGTTCAGAAGTTCGAAGATTTCTGGCTATATCGAAGAATGTAAAACTCAACCAAGCCAAAATACAGCTACAGAATGTCATTGAAGTTAAAGAATCTGAAGGAGAGAATGTTATCAAAGAAGTGGAAAAAGCTTGTGAGAAACTCTACGAATATTTCCAACGTGTACTGTCTGATAAAGATGAAGCAGTTATAAGTTTTTTAAAGCCAATGAAGTTTATCTTGGTCGGCTCTCACTTTCTATCAGCAAGCCAGATGGCATTTCATGGTACATTGATATTTCCACCATATCTATCCAAATTGCCTTCAGATTGGATGAAGTTTTTTGAGTTATTTAAATTACTCGGAGCACATGAAGCCTTTGAAATTGGTGATTACGTTGCTGCCCTGGCAAAGGTTAAAGATGACTATGGTGACAAAGCAGTAGATGACGATGTTATCGAGAAAGTTGTTTCTATGTTACATTTGCTATGTAAATCCATGGAAGTAAAACAAGTTTTATATGACGATGTGTTGGATGAGCATGGGAAGATTTTTTTGCCTGATTCTGATAGAATAATGAAGCCATCCGCTGACGTATGCGTAAAGGACTGCATTTGGATGCCTGACGAAGCCGATATAACGTATGCAAGTGAACGCATTCCATTAAAGATTTCCATTGCACTCGGAGTGAAGACAAGAAGACAGGAGACCTTTTCTAGATTTGCGATTGGYATRCCATTTGGACAGAAGGAAAAGCTGACAAACAGACTGAAACGAATTCTAACTGGTTATCCTTGTGATGGCTCAATTATGAAAGAGCTTCTTCAGAACGCGGACGATGCAAAAGCAACCAAGATATGCTTTATTAAAGATCCACGCCATCACGCTAGCGAAAAAGTGTTTGAAGAAAGCTGGAAACCCCTTCAAGGGCCTGCGTTGTGTGTTTATAATGACGCTCCATTTACCAATCGTGACATCGAGGGAATACAAAGTCTTGGTGARGGWAGCAAAGGAGATGATCCAAACAAGACTGGACAGTATGGTGTGGGTTTTAATGCGGTTTATCACTTGACTGATGTACCTTCTTTCCTCTCGAAAGGAAAGGAAATTGGAGAGGTAATGTGTGCATTTGACCCTAATTTTCAGTACGTTCCTTCTGCTACCTCTGAAAGTCCTGGAATAAAAATCGACAAACTTGACGTTCTAAGGAAAACCTTTACGGATGTATGGCCATGTTACCTAGAGCATCATTTTCCTATTGAGAATGGGACGATGTTCAGATTTCCACTTCGCAATGAGGAGATGGCTGAAAAATCCAAGATCAGCCGGAGAGAAGTGACGTTTGAAAGGCTTACCTCTTTGGTGAATGATTTCCAGAAAGAGCTACTTGAAGCATTACTTTTTGTTAATCATGTAAAAGAAATCTCGATTCACGAAGTTGACAAAGATAATGGGAGTATTCAAATGACATATCAAGTCARATCACACATATCTGAAGMCGATGAAAAGAAGCGACAAGAGTTTTCTAATGATGTCAAATCAATCGGAAAGCAATTGCAAAGTGGAAAAATATCATTTAGCGAAATTCCAGTACGTAAAGTTTCCTATATCCTCCATCTTGAAGATAGYCATGGTGTTCGTCAAAAGTGGCTGGTTGTGCAACAAATTGGATACGAGTGCAACAAAGATATATGTCATGAGGAAGGTGTTGTTAAAGCTTTTAAGCAAGGGGAACTAGGCCTTCTTCCCCGTGGCGGTGTAGCAACTTTGATTAATTCTTCAAATGACAAACCTYCAGGGAAAGCATTTTGCTTTCTTCCTCTCCCTTTCGTAACAGGGTTGCCYGTTCATATCAACGGCCATTTTGCTCTTGACCATGAAGCGAGGCGTAATCTGTGGAGAAGCGAAACATCTGATTATCGTAGCAAATGGAACGAGATCCTTCTAAAGCAAGTGGTTGCTCCTTGCTATGTTCTAATGCTGGAGGAGATCAGGGGATTTATCAATTTGCCAGTACGATGTAACCAGACTGTGCTTAAAGGAAGCCGAAAGGAAATGGAGTGTTTTCTTGAAAACTATGCCAGCTTGTTTCCTTCGTTAGAATTGAAAGAATCTTACTGGGTCATCCTAGCAAAAAGTGTGTATCGTCATTTGAGTATGCAAGAATGTCACGTTCTTCCAGTTTTACGTTACAGCAGTGTATGTAGAGATGAGTCGCAGGGTGAAGGAAGAATTGAATGGTTGCCACCAACAGGACAAGGCGAAGAGAAGGTATTTTTTGATGATATGAAGCCCTTCAAGAACAAAGCAGATGGTGAAAGCATAGATAACAAACTAAAGGAATATTTTGTCTTAAGAGACACCTTACTTGCTGTGGGATTGAACTTGCTTCACATGCCAATGGCCCACTATGATTTCTTTGTTGATTCTGAGGTAAGCGTTAATCGAATTTCTCCAAAGGAACTATTGGCGTTCTTCCACAGCTACGGTGGTCCCTCCGTTTTACAACATCAAATTGGAATTCTGCCACTTCCAATAAAAAGTACACCATTTAAAAGTGCTGATAATTTGCTCTTGGTTCTTATTTACTGCAAAAAGGAGTCAACCTTTTGTCAAGATCTGCATGGTTTACCACTCTTATTAACACAAGATAACCAACTACGTGTTTTCGACAAACATAATCCTGTTTACCTTAGTGGATTCTGTGATCTCGTACCTGCCTGCAGCGAGTTGTTTGTTCATCGCCAGCTATTCAACCGTATCTTTTATCAGGATAGGAAAGAAATGGTGTCTTACCTTTTTAAAGTATTTGACATAGCAGAATTTGCAAGACTTCTTCCAAGTGCTCTCAATGAAGTGCCATACAGGTCACCTGATAAGTATGTCAGCTGGAATCCAGTAGAGAAAGACACGAAGATACCTTCTAAACGATGGATCTATCACGTTTGGAGATTCTTTGATAGTGTTATACGACCAGCTGTTGACCAGTACGATGCACAAACAGAAGAGCAACTTCGTGAAAGCACAAAGGATGATCATTGCACGAAAATAGATTTTGAAAAGTCAGAGGGGAAGTCTAGGACACGAGAAAAGAAACGATTGATTTTGCATTTTCTCGAACCAGTTAAACACTGGTGCCTCCTTCCAGTGACTGAAATTTACCGTGTACAGCGTAGTCACCAGATGCAACCACACCCAACATATTTACAACACAAGCACTTTCTCGCACCATTGCAATTGGCAGAAACTGTGCTTTTCCACAGTAGAACAACTCATTCGCTGAAAGATTCCATCGAATGGATGTCTCTTCCAGAACTGAATTGTAGAATCTTTCAAGGAACTGAGTACTTGACACCCCCAACTAGTTGCCGTGAAATCCCACTGATGATTGTTTCCAATTTAGATGATGGAAGGTTGTTTTTATCAGTGCTGTTACATAAGTTAAAAGTCGACTCGTCATTCTTTCAGAAATTACGCTCAACGATTTGCATGGATGTTCTGCATTATCTAAATGATCATATCCAAGATTTTCAGACAGAGGATGTTGACGATTTAAAATCTTTCCCATTTTACACCACAACCCATGGCAATAACATCAGCATAAGAAACAAGCAGGCATTCGTTTTGTCGAAAAGGATCCCAAGCAACGACATGGATAAATGGGAAGAGAAGTCTGGAATTGTGTTCCTTAAGGAATATGATAGTTTAAAGAAACTTCACAGCTTCCTTGGATGCGATTCAAAGAGTGAAGTTGATGTCTACTGTGATATCATATTTGAGAACTTCCAAGATATCAGTAAAGAAGCAAGACTGGAACACTTGAAGTTCATTTCTACTTTACTTGGTGAACTGGAAAATCCTTGCCCTTTTAAATTTAATGGTTTAGACGAGAACGCGAAGAATCATCTTAAAGCCGATTTAAACCAAAACAAGGAGAAGCTTATGCAAGCCCTTCGCAATCTTAAATTCGATCTCTCTCACGATGGTTCACTAAAATTTGCATGCAACTTTTACGATCCTTTGGTGGAGGTGTTCCGTTTTATGTTGCCAGAGGAATATTTTCCTGCACAACCTTTTTGTGAATATAACTGGTTGACGTTTCTTCGCAAAATTGGTCTGATTCACAAAGTAACCGATGAAATGTTTGTCAGATTTGCTGAAGAGGTTGCGTCTGAAGGACAAAGGAATCCGGTGCAGAGAACAGGAGAAAAATCAGAAATCTTGGTCTCATATTTGTTTTCAATAGAAAACATTGCGACAAGCCCATTGCTCAATAAGGTGAAGCACATTCCGTTCATACTACGACAAAAGATTGACGAACAACTAGAGCAATTACATCCACCATTTAGCAGAAGCCAATACGTCTGCTTTCAAGGCTCGATGACAGATTACCACCATGCTGAAATAGTCTGGACGAGTGTCAACATACTTCCTAGATACGCTAACCCGCGGTCGCTCCAAGATTGGTCGTTTATACGAAATTACGGAAAAAATTCTAGTTTTAACAGCATAGGAAACTACAAGCAAGAAATCATTAAAAAGCTGGGTATTCTTGAACGTCCAACCTGCGAGATGGTTATAAGCCACTGTGTAAAGATTTGTACTTCACTTTGTAGAAGTGAGAATACTAGGCCTGAAAACAATTCTAATGGTTGTAGCAATAGCAATATTGCAACTCATGTCATGACGCCAATCTACTCGTTTTTGCAGGAAAACTACCAAGACAATTCTTATGTCATAACATCTGGGCTCCATCGCATTCGCTGCATTCTGGTGGAGGATGGAAATCGTTTAATTCGTCCCCAACAAGTTGTTGTTGACCTTATGAGGGAAGATGAAATTCCACCATACCTGTACAAGATTCCTTCTAGATTTGCTCCTTATGGTGACCTTTTTGTGGGCCTTGGAGCAACACAAACAGTAACTGTAACCCAATACGCAATGGTTCTTGATTGTATCCACAAGCACTGCAAAGACAACAACTTGAATCCTAATGAGACAAATGCAATCCTAAAAGCCACCAAAGGTCTATTTTTAACCCTAAGCAAAAATTGCGGGGTCGATGGCTCTAGTTTACAGTCCCTATATTTACCAGGAACTCGGCAAAATCCAGTTAGTCCAGATTTAAACTCGGTGTTTGTGAGGAAATCTTCTGAGATTTTCTTCAGTGACGCTCCTCATTTCAAAGATCGTCTACGTGGATTCCAAGGACACATTCTTGTCAAATTCAAAGAGTGCGGTCTGAATGTAGAAAATGATGATCGTTTAGTAAACATGATGCCAGAACCACTTCGGCCAATCATGCTGACATCTGAGGTACACGAAGCTCTTGTAGGAGACGACCAACATGTCGCATTTTCAAACGCAACTCAAGATTTGAAAAACACTCTGACGTCACATGAGTTTTGCTGTGGTTTGATACGTTTGATGAGACATGCTAATTATGAACGCGACATACACACAGAGGATGATATTGTGTCAAGGGTACAGAGACGTCTAAGCTGCATTAATGTGTATAGTGTCAAAAACCTCCGTACCAAACTTACTTACCAAGGTTCCACCATACCAGAGAGTGAAGCAGAAGTTGCTTGTTTCGAAGAGAGAAAGAAGGAAGGTAATCGAGATGTGTGCAACATCTATGTCGAGGAGCAAAAAAGTATCAAGGCATACCTTTCAAGAGTTGCCGAAATTGTTGATAGAGTAACTGGCCACCTACTCGGTAACCAGCTTGTCCATCTCTCAATGATGCTGCAATGTTCGCTGGACGAAATAAGCTCATTTCTAGACCAGCTAAAAATACGCGAAGACAATTCGTACTCAAAGACAGATCCTAGTATCTTTCCAAAGCCTGGTCATTTCATTCATATAGAGGATCACTACCTTTTAGAAAATGCGTTCACACGTTTTGAACCAGGTGAATACGTGGGCTACGAACTTGATGACCCAAGTCTTCGCGGCGAAGATGGTGCTCCAACGTTCATCTATGCTATCATTGTGGAACGCATATCACAACAGAGGTACAAAATCAATATTGGTTCTGACACCGAACACATTGAAGTAAATGCAGACAAACTGTACAAGTTTTATCGCCGTACACAAGACAAAGACGAGGGAGAGATTGACCTCTTCACTGGTAAGGAAAGCATAGAAGTCAAACCAGACAATCTTGATGACGCAAAACGACAAGTGAGAAAGACATTGGAGAACGCCTGGCAACTACCCGAAGAGAGAAAGAGAAGAATCATCAGAAGGCTGTACCTGTCATGGCATCCAGACAAGAACCCTGGCAATGAAGAGTTTTGCACTGAGGTTTTTAAATTTCTTCAAGCAGAAATTGCAAGATTGGAGAATGGTCTCAGCGTAGACGATACAAGCTGGAGTAGGTATGGTACCAGCGCCTACGGTGGGTATTACAGCGATCTTTTTAGGAATTGGTCAGGCTTTGCAGAAAGCCACAGAAGACATAGAAGCTCATACGACAGTAGGGGAGGTAGACAACCGTTTCATCGCAAGAATCCTCAACCCGGAGAGGCAAAAAGATGGTACAGACAGGCCAGCGCTGATCTCCAAGCAGCAAGTAAAGATATACATTATGACAAACCGTCCTATGAATGGGCCTGCTTCAARTGTCATCAGGTATGTCTGTTGTTCCCCTATAACCATCACTCACAGGGAAATAAATACATCTCAAGTTGAACAGTGCTGGTAGTAGAGTATTTTCCAAAAATCTGTGAAAAAATGTCAATAGCCGAACTTGATTTAATTTAAAACAAATTTCATCGGTATATAACCTCCGACAATACTTAGAAAATTTTGGTGACCACCGATTTACTGACTAATGATTTTTGCTTAAAGTCTATTATTAATAGTAACCCCACTACGACCACTCGGTCACACTCTCCCTTAAGTAGAATATGACTTTCATATGACTATTTTGTCATTTCATTATATAATATCCACAACAATTTACAACTTGATGAGCGGCGCACGTGACGCCCAACATAGTTGAAGGCATTTTGTTCATTGTACGTGTGGCACTAAAGAAAGAAAAAATTCGTATAGCAACATGACCTCCATAAACCGGTAAACCTCATTAAGCCTTCACCTTGTCAGCGCTTTCAGGTGAGCGCTTTTTTGAAAAAATAGAAGTGTGACTGTAATGAAAAATGATAAATCGGGCAATAAATAGCCAATTAAATCAACGAAAAAAGGTGCATACGGAATTATTTGGTATTATTGTCTTAAGTCCGCAGAAAAAGCCCTCAAAGCTGCACAGTATTCACAAGACGCAGACCACAGCTGGACACACRACYTACCMGAAATTGCCAATAGTGTCGGTGACAGTGAASTGCAACGTTTAGCMTGCTCTCTTGAAGGTCTTCTTGGAAACTCAACACGCATGCGTTATCCAGATAGGGTCTACAGCTATCCCAAAATTCCTCACGACATTTATAGTAAGGAAGAAGCGGAAGAGGCTTTGGCAACAGCACAACAAATACTTGTGATCGTACAAAACAAGTTTGTACAKTAAAGGTAGACTTATAAGAACTTAATATCTTAACAAATTGTGCATGGTTTTGAGTTGTAATAATGTCCTCCAATTACATGATTTCATAGTCGGTTTTCTTTGTTATTTAGAGGGCTTTATCTTTCATATTACCCTAGTACAAGAACAACTCAGAACGAAAGAAGACTGAAATTTTACTATCAAGCTGATGTTGATTCACTGATATAATTTTCTCAATGTTTTGCCGGATATTATAGCGTATCAGTGCCGCAATGTTTCATGAATTGAACGGAATGTGAACTTTTCCATCGACCTTATTTAATTTTTATCGAGTTTTTGTTCGTATTTCAGCACTTCAATACTGGAGGACGATGTATCCAGGTAATCAAGATTGAAAAGTACAGCGCAGTACACACTTTTTATTATGTGTCTGACATACAGCATTGCATTTGGTCAAGACAGACTTACATTTACGCTGTGTATKAATGCTAAAATGTTCTTTTTATGAACCAAACCTAATAGTTTTAGTTTTGAATTGCCCACAGAAAACTGTCTTGTTTTAGTATTGATTTATAGGTTATATCATAGCAAAATAACTTTGTAGAGTTCAATATTAATGTTAGGTTTTCTATCAAGATTAGTAATAGAGAGGCAAAATGAATTCTGAGCGACAAATTGTAGACGTTTTTATAGACTTATAGTTACAACAAACACATTCTGTACTTTTTTAGTTTTACATAAGACATTACTTATTCAAGGTTCTATACGTTGTAGGTATAATCAAACATTTGTACCTTTTAGATTTGTAGAAATGCTAAAGACACTGATACTTGTTAATAAAGCCCAGGTACAGAACACAGCTCATCAACTCGTGCGTTCAGTTTATATTTTATATAAAGTTTGAAGATAAAGTCTATATATCTGAAATCCTGAAATGTATATGTTTTGAATATTGCTACTAGTTTGGCTGTAACAGGCAACAAAATATACTACATTTTTGCATTCAGAAACTGGATGGGATAACACAGCTTTGCCGGCCGCTTCCCGCCAAGTCAATACAGTGCGGTCCTACGTAGTCGGTATCGACTGACTTTGGCAAGTACTATGCCGTTCAGCTACCATATGTTACTTGTGCATAAAGGCAATTTCATGGAAATATTCATTGTCAGTGCTGTGGTCAATGCTACAATAACATACAAGCAAGAAAGTTTTCAAACTGTTACATTGTGATTGAATRAGAAGGGTTTCTTCAACAGATAAAAGATCAACATTTTTGTTTTTCGTCACAAGATTGCGAAATCTTCGAAAACGCGTTCCAAAACCCGATCAGTGGCTCCACAAAAGCACGAAAATACAAGGAAAACCTCCGTAACCAGACCGTTTTCATTTTTCTACCAAAATTCTCATGCGATAGTCCGGTATAGAGGGTCTGGTTACGAGAAAGCCCCTGGTATCGGTCGATCACATACCCAACTCGTCAGCTCGGTGATTTCATGGCAACTTATATGTATCTCATATTTTATTGAAAAAAGGATAGGTTTGTCATGCATATAGAATAATTCATTTGGAGTTGGTTTTGACAGTCGCTCCATTCAAGTGCTGTTTCATCCAATAGCTGGGATCCTTGAACTAAAGAAGACGGAAAGTCAATAATTTKGTATTGTKATCATACTGTTGGCATAGTGTTATTACTCCCACAAGCACACCCTACAATACYATTGCTGGGTYCAAYSYCCAAAATCAACAACTACTTTCAAGAAGGTTGTTATATAAAAATTGGAAAAGGAGGTCACGTTCACTTTTGGCAGTCAAGCTTTGAAGTACTTAAAAAGCAGTTAATAATTACCTGACTAGAAAAGTCTTGATCAGCTTCGTTCATAAGGAATTCTCCCTCGCTGTTAACGTAATTATTAAAGGATTTCTTGCTCCATTCGTTGAAAAATCTTAATTTTGTCGTGTTGTAATCATTCTTGGTCTGCGATGGTGACTTTTCTTTGAAATCGATTTTTTTCTCTGCGCAGCCCGAAGCTGAGGATTCTTTGTGTAGAATGGAGGCTGGAACAGATGCCATACCTGGACCAAATGCTCCATGTTGATGTTTTTTAGGCAACCAGGAGTAAATGTTTCCTTTTCTTTTTGTCGTTGTCTTGCTGGTTGTACCCAGTTTTGCTGTAGCATCTAAAGTAAGAGTCCTTCCACTGCTGCTGTACCGTGAGTAAACATCATCCAGGTATTGTTCAATTAGCTTGACTCTCTCGTTGTCTTGCAGTTCCCGTTCGATTCGTGAATGCTCTTGTTCTACTTCCTCTATGAGTTCTTTTTGTTTTTGTCGACGGAGAGAGTTTTCCTGTGCGATGCGTTGCTGTTTTTCGTCCATTTGTTTGGCGGGTTCTCTTGCTGTGCTTTGCTCTTGGACATTTGCTGTAAAGATATAGTATAAGAACATATCAGTCCCCCTTTTTATTAATATATCCTTTGCTACTCCTCTCTTACTCCCTGACTTCCCTTCTTTCCCTTCCTATCTCATTTTACCTTCAGACTCTCCATCTCAACGCTTACCCTTCGTATCACTGTCTTTCCTAAGAATACCGCTCTCCAAGATATCAGTTTTGAACCAGCTGCATTGAGCTGCATGAGCCATCAGCTTGGCTTCGTCTTGTTCTACTGTTTTTGACGGGAAATTCATTGTCCTAATAGAGTACTGGGGCTTCTTCTCTCTTCGTACAACCTGAGCTGATTTGATAACGTTCTTATCAGTTGACGTCGCGTCTCCTGTTTGCTCTTTAACTTTGACGTCACTTTCTTTCTTTCCATATTTGGCTTGAAAGGTATGCTCGCGATGGATGATTTCGTGAGCCTGCATTATTGATAGTCGCTTGTGATGTGGTTTACAATTGGCAAGGTAACGCTGATAGATATTGAACATGCTGAAAAACAGTATCAAGACTCGTCTAAGAGTTTCTAACGCTTATCTACCTCAATGCTGATAATGTGGGACACAAACGTAAGATGGCAAGCATCCAATTTAAATAATTTCTATTTTATTTTACTACTTGATTGTGTCACCAGTCCCTCTCAAAACATCTCATTTCTTTACCTGTCTGTTATCTTGTTGGTGTTACTGTCAGCTAATACCAGATCTTTCTCGCTCAGACCTAGCTTTTTGACAGTGTTGGACAAAAGTCGTTCGGTCTTCGCTTTTGCCGACTGAGTGTAAAGTTTCCTGGAATGTACGTCATCTCTGTTGTTGGCAGGTGTTCCTTCATAAGTAAATTAATTTCATTTYATTTGAAAAATTAATTCATGAAAGGCTGAGGTAAGTTATAGAACTTCTTGATATTTTTATTGAATTAGAACCAAACTTCTATTTTTATCATAAAAAGGTGTCTTTCCATGTTTTTTTTTTACGGAAATGTTTTGACAGTCTTCACTCAGAGAAAAAGAGTCACCACGACTATGGACAGTTCAGGAAGGCTTATTAGCCAAAAATACAAACACATTTTACCTGATGACTTAGATGTCAATACGTCACGTTTTTGATGTAATCCATGTTTCAAATKCCGTGGAGACTTTGACTGTCGCCTCTGTAGTTCAGCTGTTCGTATCGTAACAGAGGACACGCCTTTGTATRTGCCTTTAGTTGGATATTTGTTTTGCTGTTTGCTTCCATCCTCTTCATTTGCTGCGTGGATATTGAGTTCTTCTGTAGTTGTATCGGTGGTTTGTGTTCTTACATTCCTCATCGGTTCACTGAGTACATTTTGTTGCTGTGCCGGCGGTTGGTGATCATTCTTCACGTGCATAGACCTAGGCCTGGTGCGAGATGGCACATCGCGGCAAGTCCGCTTTGCTCCGGTTGTATATGGACGGGTTTGTCTCCTGTCGCGTGACCTGGCTGAGTGAAGACGCATCCCTCTGATTTGCAAACTCTTTAAAAAGAATGAACAAGTGATGAACTACTGTGCGGTCAAATGGATAAGGGCCAATTTATAGCAAGTGTATCGATTACATAGCCACCTCATATTTGATTTCAAATCATCATCGCAGTCCGTGCTTGTTTCTGGTGATTATATACTTTGCTCTAATGTTTTTTTTTTGCATCACCTCAATGAATATCGAAAGGATCTGTTGAATGATGCAATGGGAATCTAGCTGGTGGGCGCTTGTATCCTTCAATACTTTCCCTCGGACTTTTTATAATTTACCGCTGTTTTTTTCTTAATTTTATACATAAAATCTAATACCATAACTCTTCTATCTTCTCTTACCTGTTCGTTTTGTGAACTTGTTTTCTTGCTGAAAAGTCAAAGAAAGAGCTGTTAGTATTCCTGATACTGAATGATAGCTCAAGAGTGCCTTTTGAATGATCAAGCTTGAAAGTGGCCACTGCATATTAGCACAGCACTCTTTTACATTGAGAAAGCTTATGCTCCCTTCAAAAAAAATGAAATGCAATTGTTAAAGGGAAACTCATGAAGAGACTATTTTTATCACACTTGTAAGTTCTCGCGCGCTGACTCAGTGGGCTCGTGGGTCCACTGCTGAGAGTTTTGAACATTTTATACGACGTCGAGTGTGTCACGTCAATAAGAGGACATAAGAGAGGTTAGCATGACGTTCACTGCAACCGGCAGAAAAGATCACGTGATCTGCTTTTTTGGAGTTTAACGTTGCAGTTTCAACTCGAGAGTGGCTTAGTTTGGAGTTGCCATAATCGTGAAAAGTCGCTCTTTCAAATGACTACCAAAAGCACAAAGTCAGGCACGAAATTCTTAGGTCATTGGTTCAGCTCTGCCGTTACCCGTTAACGTGATGCTTAAACTCTCTATAAATTCAGAACGGCCCTGAATCTGTTTAGGATTGTGATTGTGKATGCTGTTTTTGTTACGTGGTCTCTCTTCTGTATAACCATGTATTCAATCGAGCGTTTATACTCACTCGTTTGACTCTGTTTTTTCATGACTTTCTTCTTTATTTTCTTTGTCTTCGTGATTGCTTTCATCTTTTTCCGTAGAAGGAACTCCCTGCCTAATGCAGACCTGTATCACAAAGACAAAAATAAACATGAGTATTTGTTACAAGCGATTATCAGTATACAAGTGCCTTGATTAAAAAAAATGTTCAGAAGAGGGGTCACCAAACGTGATATCATCGAAGTGAACACCGAAGGGATTTTTAATTACTTGGAAACTCGAATAACATTCGCATATAAGCCTTATAGGAGACCATATTATTCAAGGAGGGCAATCTTATGTCACACAAACACTGTTATATTCATAATCACTTTCCCATGCTTCCTTTCGGTCATAGCTTTGATGACGTCACCTTTTGGAACCCGACAACGTTTTTCAATTAGGTGTAGAAGCATGCTAGAAAAATCTCAATCTTAAAAATAATAGGTAATCTCTTCTTGCCATATCAAGACCCGAGACAAGAAGTGTTGCAGAAATTCAACTATGAATTCTGCTGCTTAGTAATGAGCTGCCTACCTTGATGATTTCTTTGGGAGATTGTTTAGACTTTTTGCGTTTGTCATCCCTATCGTTCCAAACTATATGCCTGTCTTTCCTGTCATACATAATACTATTCTAAATGTATCTAGCATATCATCTTATTTATCTACATCAATGTACTATACAATCTGCAATAATCTCTATGATACACATGTAAACGTTTCAGCAAATTATTTTTACAAATGTATGTTAATATACTATAAGTTGTCAGTACTTAGGAAAGGTCGAAAAATGAAAAACATTGGCACCAAACTTACTGTAACAATGTTGCTCGATAATTCTCTTAAGGGTATGAAATTAAAGGCGTGTATCAATGCAAAGTCTTTAGTCGCGTCTCGATCTGTGCAAATGGACACTTACTTTTCAGAAATCGAAAGGGAACTACTCACCAGTCTTTAGTAATAGCTTTATTGCTCTCCGTCTCTCTTTCCAGAAACTCGTCCAGAGTCAAATTGTAAATACCAGAAATAGTATCGTGACGATTATGGGAGATGTGTAATTCAAGCTTTGATTTGGGCATTTTAATGAGCTGTGATACTTTCTCTAAAACCTGAATGAAAATCAATTGAAAATAGGCGATATGCATTATGGCGTCATTTACTACAACTACCARAATGYTTTGCCAACTTTCTTTTGTRATGCAATTAGTGCCAATTGTTTTATTAATCTCCAAGGGGATTAAAAATCCGAATAACGATGAAAATGCACAAGGCTCTCTGGTAGTTGTAGTAAAGTTAGGTCATAATGCAAACGGCCTTTTGTTATGGCATTTTCAATGTATTGGGATAAGAGTAGGGTTTTACCTTGTCTATGATGTCTTGGTCTATWACTGGAGATGAATAGGGCTTTAATGGTAATTCCCCTTTCATGGTAATCCAGGGGTGGACCATTACCTCTTGAAGGGGTAGACGGATGTAGGGATTGGGCTCCAACAATCTTCTAAGCAAGTCCCGACATTCTGTTAAGTACAAATGCATAACAAATGATTTTCTGCTTAAGCCACACCTCCAGAGACCACGTGACTTACCAGAAGACAGGACGCTCATATACTTGCTGTGACCTACGTTTAATCCATTTGTCATTTGTTCGACTAAATCATTACGACCTCGAATTCCAGAATGAAAGGTTCTGCACAAAAAATAGACAATGCAAGCTCAGGAAACTTCAGTCTATCAACATAGTCTCCTTTGCAGCCGACTCTGTTCCCCCAGGGCATCCCGACAAAATGTTAGGCTGCGAAGGAGGACTATGCGTACTAGTATAAACACGAGCGTCTTCAAAATGATTTTGATGATATTAAGTGGTTGATAATGACTGCGAGCGTTCAGTAAACATTGCAAACAAGTGATCGTAATATTTGATGTCAATAACGTGTCCCTGCTGCTGCTGAGGCAGATTACTGACAAGGGAAATCGTGTCAAAAGATATTTATATGCACGCATGTGACTTTTTAGTTACCTGAAAGGCAGTTTCCCGACAACCATTCCAAAGGTTATAACACCCCTAAAAACAAACATTAATAATATCAGCTTTAGCACTGCAAATTTCTTACAAGATACTCTAGCAGGAGTCACCGGCTGCCAGTTGCCATTGCYCTTCTCAAATACCAAAATCTTGAAAAAGAAAAAGAAWATTCTGACCCGTTGATGCAGCATGAGAAGGTTTGATTAAGTGTTAAAATCAGGTAAAGAAATTCTAGTTTTTTAAAGTATGATGTCATGTTTACGCTTTGTGACATCATCCTGTTGATGACTATGTATTCTCACAGTTCGTTGAAACTCCTAAAATGTAATCTAATAGGCGCTAAAGTTGATGTTACACGAGACGATTTTTATTGACGTGTTTTTACGCGTTCATCAATTCTTGATGCTTTCTACACAGATCGATTTTTCACCCAACCTAGTATTAACGCGTTCCCAGAAAAGTGTGTGTTAAAAATGACTATAAGGRAAATATTCAGAAGGTCAGAGTCATTTAAAGGATCGTGGTTTTCATGTCAAGCGGTAGCCCCAACTTACAAACTCCACAGATCCACCTCAGGACCATAGCGACACTCCTTTTTAAACAGCTCTGGTGCTGCGTATTCTGGTGAGCCACACTGTGTTTTCAACAATTGTCCTTCCTTTATTATGTTACTAAGACCAAAATCTGCAATAACGTTTAATAAAGATTAATGAATAGAAAATACCATGAACTTGTTTTTGGCCGAGTCGAGCTGGCACTAGTTTACCACAGGAACCCCACTCACCTACTAGTTTGATATTCTTTTTGCTCTCATCCAAGAGGACGTTTTCCATCTTTAAATCTCTAAAAATATTGGATTATGTAAGTATACATTGATAAATACCAGTAGAATGCACTGCAATAGCACTTAAATAGTAAATTATATTCAATAATTTTATTTTAAGGATATAATATCGAAATTGTGTTGTTGCATGCATTATTTAGTTCGGGGCGCGCGGGCAACTGTCTCTGCACTAGTGTTTGACCTTTCATAGGAAATTTATCCACTATTCCTATTCGTACAACCGTCACTTGTTACCTCCCTATTGGGGATTATTACAGACCTTGAATTATTTTATATATTATACATCTAATTAAAAAAYAGTCCTGAGATTTAGGGATTTAAGAACTTTAATATTAGGAAACAATAATAAGCTTAATTTTTAAAAAGATAAGATAGACAACCAAAGTTGAACATTTTCTCAGGCTTCCTTACAAATRAGGGGGCTCGTTTGTTCATAATGCGGACCTAAATGAAATGTTTCTATTGCATTTTAAAATTGATATATGTTGTACTTGTCCCTTAGTTATCAAGTCGCACCTACAACAGCTCCCACTAGGAAAACAGCATCACCATAGGTTTGTAATTGTATATTAGATTTTATTATATAGATGAATTCTAATGCGTGCTCTGATTGGCCAAACAAGTGTGGTTTATGAGAGTATAAACCACAATTGTGCTCAAAAAAGATTTTTACTCAAAATCTATATAATAAAACAACACTCAAAAATGTCCAGAAGCACTCTATGCTCGCTTTCAGCCGTGCTTCTTGACATTTTCTCGTGTGTTTCAAATGCCAAGTGTGCGTTTATCAGAGTATAAACCACGGCTGAGCCTTATTCATTTGTTAAATAAACAATAGGGCAAATTTGCCAATTATGAGAAAATAGATTTAACATAATTATGGTATTTTGAGGATCAGTGATATTTTGGGATTAGTGATCAGGATTTTCCTTTTTGGATTGGGATCAAAGCTACAAGGAGATAATAGACCTAGTGAAGCTTTACAATCATACCGTGTGCACACTGCATTTGTAAGATAGGTTTGGGACAAAGCATGATGGCAAATCATTTGTTGATAGAGATCACTATTGATTTGAGGGGATCTTAAAGGGAATATTAAAAATATAAAACATAAAGAATTAAAACTTACATCACATTACAAAGGTACTAGAACCAAATGCAAAAATATGCATAGGAATTAAGTTGAAGTGAGATCTTGTTTAATTATGATAATCAACTAGCCTGCGTGGCGGCTCTAGGGGAGGGGGGAGGGAGAAAACGGAAGGGGAGGGGGTGGGGAGGCAAAGCAGAAACCTCCCCACCCCCTCCCCTTCCGTTTTCCCCCTCCCCTTCCCCTAGAGCCGCCACGCAGGCTAAATAATCAACATGAACAGGGAACGTCTTGGGTCATATGAGGATCTTTTGTAAATTATGTTTATAAGCAATTTTATTTATTTCAGGTTCTCTGACTACAAATCATTAAATTTTTATCAGTTGTGTAAAGTAGTACTCTATCATTTTCCTAATTTTTGTGTGTTTTTTAAAGAATTTCAAACACTTTCTACAATTAAAGTTTCTATATATCATGAGAACAAAAACCTAGTCCTGGCCACTTCATGATTAGCAAAAGATAATACTTGTAGATAAATGATAATTTAGCATCAAACAGCACAAATTAACTTAAATATCTCTTTCCTAGCCGGCTCTATTGTGGGATACCTGTGTTTGGTATTTGTTCCTAACTATAATCTCTGAGAAAGAGCTGCAGCTCTTCCTATTAGTCATTCAACATCAACACAGCCAAGACGAATAAAAATGTGTGTTTTCTTTGGAGTAGCTTGCTATAAGAAGAATTGCCTAATTTCAGCTTCAGTGACTTTCAATAATATTACTAACATTGGCTTATAACCAGTTCTAAATAGTGTATTGAGCGTGAGGTGCATGAAAATRAAAGTAAAATAATAAATCAAAACATGGCAGTTAATATTAAGAAGATTGTCATGTTTTCAGATGGTAGAAATTAACAAAAGAGAACTAGGTATAAAGATCACCAGCTTAATCGTAATAGATATCTCACGGTTTATGAAAACCACTACAAGATTTGGGTTGGCCACTACCTTTTGAACAAAGTTTGTGAACGAGTGAGATGGCGATATATCCATCTTTTTTTTTTGTATAATTCTTTTTTTTTATTTCACAAAAAAAATACAATCTTCTAGTAGTAGTGTATTACAGCAAGATTTTGTTGTCCAGTGAGTATTCTAATTTGTTTTTATTATTATCTTAGCAAGTGTAATTTCACAATAATTATTGGTTATATTTGATAATAGTTACTTGATTATAGATTTTAGTTGAATAGTGTGACAAGATATCATTTCAGGCTGATTTGTGTTATTTACACCGTTAATCATTTTTAATTATTGATTTTTTGACTTGGAATTTGCATTATATAATTGTATTATTATTATTATTTAGCCAGCATGGGCTTGTGTCTCATTTTAATTTTCAATTGATATCAGACGCATTTTCCTTTTTTTCGTAATTTATTATTATTATTATTATTTAGCCAGCATGGGCTTGTGTCTCATTTTAATTTTCAATTGATATCAGACGCATTTTCCTTTTTTTCGTAATTGGTTTTAAATCAAGAGTAACATGAAGACTATTTCATATTTCGTTTTTAATAACATGCCACATATAAACATTCGTTTCATTTATTACAATTTTAATCCGCTACTCAACGTTGATTACTTCTTAAGTGGCACTTTATGTTTCATTTAAACGGAGATTTACTGTAATTATTTTCAGAAACTATAACGAAAAACACATTCGAATTACGGAATATGAAACCATTGGATTTGCTGTTTACTGGTATTTCACTAATTCTAAGAATTTAATCTTGTGATTTATTGTATTGGTTTATAGTAGGTGGAAAAGAAATTAACGAAAACGGTAAAATGCAGCGATATAATATGTATCTTAGGATGAATGCAATAAACGACTTTTAGATTCAGYTGTTATGGGATAATGTCCTAAATTGAGAGAGTCAAATGAATTTGCGTAAAATAAATGAATCATGATTCAAATGCTAATTCAGAGTAACTCTTTTTATGTCTTTGAGACATAAGATATGATTAAAATAATGTAGAGACATATATTCATTAATTATTGACGTTGTCTATATTAGATTCTAAAGCCATTTGACTCTTTCATTTTGGGGTTGTTTGACTTCCTTTCGTTTTTCAATCAGTTGGTGTCAGTTACATTTCCGAAATGCGTTCACCTTTCGTGCAACTTAGTTTTGTGAAGGTAATTAATTTTAACTTTTCCCCCCAAATGAACAAAGTAATGACAGCTATTAGGAGAAACAAAAAACATCTCACCGCCATAAATTATTTTATCTTTATAATTACATTGATAAGGATTTTCATATCACCATCAGTCATGTTTTTAAATAATTGATGGAAACCATGTATAGGCCATTATAATGTAAAAGGAGTCTCAAATTTCCACATTTAATTATCAAAAACCGTTTCAAATCGTTCTTTTTTTCATTGACCTTGTCCTTGTTATGAATACTAAGGAATGATCACTTGGTAACATAATGTTATACCGTCTCTCAGATACTAAAGACAAGAATCCCTCTAATTATCCTTCTTCTCAATTGTAAGTATTCAATAGATTTGAAATGACAGSCAGAAAGTGTGTAAACAAAGTACTTTTCCTGATTTCAGTTGACAGAATTTTGCTCTCGACATGCTATGCCCACCAAAAAACAATCATAAATGTTCATATAAATGACCTTTTCCAAGTGTACAATATCAGATATTTTCGTATTAAAAATAGTTTAAAASCGTTCTTAACATAGTAATTATTGAGCACAATAGATGGTATTTTGTAAGTACTTGTTTTTCTCGTGTAGTGAGCGTGAAGAGACACGAGTTTTGTTGTGTTCTTGTTTGTTTGAACATGTGCTACACATTCACACAGTGATCGACGTAGACGCACATTCCATTCACATGGAAACATGTTTCTAAGCAACTAAATAGACTCGAAGGAGTATAAACAGGCTACAAACTCGTGTCTGTAGACCCCTAGTGTTAAGAAAAATACCGGGTTAAGGGACCTGTGGATTGAGATATTAAAATGTCTCTTCTGTCGTTCAKTACAAGCTAACAAGTGTGTTTTTCAAACCGATATTTCATTGCTAAGTTATTAAGATTTATATTAAGTCACACATCATCTTACCGATGGACAATGCCTCGTTTGTGGAGATGATGTAATGCTGAAGCAATTTGCCGCACAATTGGTCGGGCTTGTGCCTCCGTTAGTCTTGACTCGTGCTGACTTCTGATCAGTCCAAGTAGTTCACCCCCCGCTACGAACTCAGTTACGAGGCAATAGACGCCTCTCTGTTTCAAAGTCTCGTACAGTTTCACCACATTTGGGTGTTGAATTCTCTTGAGAATCAGAGCTTCTCGTAGTATGTTTCTCTTGACGTATTCATCTTTGATTTTTCGCGTGTCAATAATTTTTATCGCAACCTGTGAAATCAAGCATGGAAAAGGTGTTTTTTCTTTTCATCTTTGTGTTTCGTTTCGGTTGACTTGAGAATCGTTGACCATGCATAAACAAAGCCGAACAATACATGTAATGGTCTTCTATTAACCCTCTGTTTGCACAAGTTTGAACTTGTAAATCATTGGTTAGGGAAGACCACGGTACTTACCTTTGATTTGGTTACTCGATTGACCGCTAACTCTACAATCGCAAAGTTTCCTTTTCCAAGGCGTGTCCCAGTTAGATCATACGTTCCAATACGCTTGATAACCAATTGACTACAATCTGACATGATTAAAAATGACTAAATAAGGTGACAAAGTGCACTATGAAAAGTTTGTAAACATGAAAACCCCAGGACACTCTGTAATTACTAAGTGGCATGTGCTATCAATTTATATCCACCAATCAGATTAAAGGATTTCAACCGCACGCGACCAGTCATTGTTCGTCATTGTTGACTGTTTTGAAYATTTTCGCGCGCTGATTGGCAAACGGACAATACACCACGTTCCGGCGCGTGCCACACAACGCTTGGCCACTTCAGTCTACCGAAGAGCTAATATTAAGCGCCTTAAGTAAAACAACGCTGTACATTATACTTATGTATTTGAGGCTTAGCAAACATTTCGTAACAAACCAGGACTTTGGTCAGACCTGTGYATGAATCCCACGCGAGTAACGGTTTATTAAATGTGCACATTTCTAGTTCTATTTTGGGACTTGAACACGCGGGAAAGTCGGCTTTCTGTTTGGCCCGCGAGGGAGCAGTTGTCGCGTGGGGTAAAAAACTTTGACAATTATACGATCATGTGGACTGACAATGACTTTTGGCTTGGTTCATGGAAAAAATAATTACCCCATAAATAAACAAAATACAATAACATTCTAAAAAAAAATCAACTTTTTAAGCTGAGGTATATTCACAAAACAAGGACTGCAACGACTCTAAATTTGTAAGTTGTTTTGAAGTCTAGAAGCAGTTTATTAAATCATTGGTAAACCTACATGTCTCTTTTTACAACCACGAGTCAGATGAAACGCCTGGCAATGGCTCGCACCACAAAAGCTCTCTGATYAAACTTAATTGAATTTGAATTGATCCGAAGACCATGTATATGATCCTTTGCGCAAGTGACCGAGATTAACAGATGCTCTCTTCCTAAACCCCACCCTTAAAAGTTTCAAAATTTACCGCGCCGTTCAACGGAAAATCAAAACAGATTTTTCCAACAAAACAACCAGCTTAGCTTGCATAATTTTGTGAGAACACGTCAGTAATAATACTTGTGGTACTAGTAGCTAGCGCGGTACCCGTAGAAGCTTCGTTTGCGTACTTATAAAAAATTCAGGTTGATCAATGATGCGTTCAGTTCAGCTAACTAAACACTCTTGTTTTATTTTAGAGAATTTGTCTAATAGAGCGCCCCACTGAACTAACGCGTGTGTTCAAGTCTGTTGGGATTTGCAGACCGTAAAAACCAAATTACCGTAAAACTCCCGAATGCACACAGTAACTGACTCGTAAAAAAAGTCAACCGACTTCCTAAAAGCGCGTAAATTGCACTAAGTTAATCAAGCAAATAGTTTTCTAGTAATGGTATATTAATTCGTTTTTTTTCGTGGTAATTTACAATAGGCTGTCGTTTTGGAATATACACCAGGACAGCAAAATTTTCGTAAAAATACAATACGTCTTTGGCTCTCGGATATTTCAAACATCTCTTACAACAACAGATAGAAAATCTCTCTAAAACGAGAATGCACTAAATACAAAACATTCTTCTATATACGAAGACAAAAATATTCACATTTTGGATAAGAGCCGATTAGAAAAGCAATGATGTCATTTGTATAAAAGGTTTTCACTTGTGCGTAATTCTGAGTCACAAAAAAAAATACAAACTCTGTTACGTTAGCTTCCCGCCAACAGGAAAGTACCGCTCAGGGGCACAAGTCTCAGTTAGTTCGATTTGAAAGCAGCTACAAAAAGCCCTTACAGTTGACCTAGGCTATTTTCAATCCACTGYCCTTGTATAAGTTCTGATACTTCAGGTGGTGTGTAGAGATCAGGAAAGTCAAACTGTCCCCCATTCGCTCCCGCCATGTCAAATAGTGGTGAAGTAGGAAGATTATTAAGGTTTAAGTTAGAGAGTTCCAAGTTAGGCCAAGCGCTCGGTATGTGTTGATTGTGAATTTGTTGGTTGCCCATGTTYGTTGCTAGTTGTGATTGATGTTGTTCAGTCTTGAACGCTTGTTCAAAGTCTTCATATAACGAGAGCTGATCAATTGGATCATCTGGTGTGACGCCGATGGAATCAGGAACGTTTGGAGGCGGTGTGATGGGTGATACTAAATCACGGCGCTGTTTTTTAAACTCCCCAGTGGAATTATACTTCTTATTAGTTGATAGCGTATGATACGTCGTGTCTGGTAAAGCCTCTCGTTTCGTTCCAATAGTGCCATGGATACTCTTACGTGGAATGACAGGATCATTTGCGGGTTTACCCTCGGTTGATCCTGGTTTTGCTTTTGCGGGCTGCTTCTTCTTGCGTGGACGGTACTTATAATCAGGATAGGCCTGCATATGACGAATACGCAGTCTTTCCGATTCCTCAATAAATGGCCTTTTTTCAGTTTCTGATAGCAGTTTCCAGCGTTTTCCAAGACGCTTGCTGATTTCTGCGTTATGCATATCAGGATGCTCCTCAGCCATCTTGCGGCGTTCGATTTGACTCCAAACCATAAATGCATTCATAGGTCGCTTGACGTGTTGCATGTCACTTTTCTTTTTGCTCTCAGATGCAGTGTCGGTTGGATCGTCCAGTGATGTTTGTGGAGGACTTGGCGAAGCGCGAAACTGATCGCTTCCCTGCTGAAACACCATCATCATCGCGACCTCTTTTTCTAACTTATTCAAACTACAGAAATATAAAAGAGGACGGCAGTGTCCTTTACGATCTTGCGTTGATCCGTAGTCGTGTGGGTGGTATAAAAAAGCAAAGTTAGATCAGCTGATTTGCTGAACTTAGTGGTGCGTTGAATTGAGAGACTAGTTTGTTCGGTGAGGTTTTTACAGAATGTCGCGCAGCTTCTGTGGTAATTTCTATTTCATAAATCAAGGCGAAATTTGCGTTGGCTTGGTGTGACGCGCACTGACACGTCATAACAAAATACACCACAGCCAACCAATCAAAATMTACGAATCAAAATAAAGCCTCCTCCCTATGGATCTTTAGCCGGCCTCTGATTGGTCGAAATGCTGTCACAGTAATTTTCGGCTTGTCTTTTTAAATTACTGAGGGTCGCGTGTCGGTCCGCGCACGGAAACACATGGAATCCTTGAAAAGTATGCGAAAGTGCCTTCAGTTTGCCGGCTCTATTTCATTCTCGTTTGAGTTATTCGTTTTTTGGAAGATGAATGTTTCTTTTTCATCGACTTTAGACGCATTTGATGATGTTGATGATATTCTGTGATAAAAAGTTTTTGAAAATGTACGCCACGTGCTCGGAACAATAGAACATTGCATCACTAATGGCGTACATCACAGTGCCATTGGTAATTTGTCAGCGAATTGTCATAATATGTCAAGTCTAGAAGCCCACGAACCACTACACGGTGATTATCTACGATAGCAAACCAAATGTTAGAAAAACTCGAATCGAGAAGCCTAATAGTTGAGTTTTTTGCGCGACTGCTGTTGTTATTGTTTGTATTGTGAAACACGTCTTGGCTAGTGAGCCATAATCCAAGAGGAAACAGATCTCGGGGGATTAGATAAAGTAACTCATGAATAACAAAGTTCGTGTTGGGACAGGTCTATAGGTGGGGTGATTGGCAATTTGAATATTTTCTATTTCTATATTCATATCAGGAGGCCAACATTTCTCGACTTCTAGAAACTTTCCAGAGCCRTATTATTACAAAATGTTCATCAACTATAAAGATAAAGACTGAGAAGAAAGATRATATTTATACGGATTTCGAAATATTAATCTAAAAGCTAATTTATCAAATTATTCAAAACTATATAGTATTTTATTTTAAAGTAATGGAACATTTTGCTTGTTTATTGGGGTATTTTTTTCGTTTCTGACCATTTAAAATCGAATACAAACGCGCACTATGACAAGAAGGGAGCGGTCTCTGGATTTTTTTCCTGAGTTGATCACCAACCTGTTGAATGTTGGCGAACCTGCTTTCAAGGCGGTTAAAATTGCTGTAGCTATGGCGACTAGAAGAGCCAGCCAATCSCAARCGAGTGATGTGGTAAGGTCTTTGGCAGGTGTCAGGGTTTTTTACGATCTTCTAGATTGAATATATTTGTAGTACAGGTGACATCGGCAACCACGTGCTTAGCGACGTCCAGGTGGTTGTCAATCAAACAAAAACTGCCTTGACAGGCTTAACGTCCATTTTTCTGACTTGGTTTCGTTGCCGCGGTTGCAAAACATATCTTTCGCAATTGAGAAGCTCTTCGCGCCGATTTATCTGTGTAATGATTGGGCTTCAAGTAGTGTGGAAGTGACTTGTAGAAATCGCAGGCTTCAAGAAAAAGCGAACAGTTGATATGTGTGTCTTTCTCCACTGGTCGACTAATTTGTTTCATTTTCTTTTATTCAAAATGTGGCTATTATCTTGAGTTTGGGGTCATTAATGTGTTGACCTTATTATATATGCGAACCTATCTCAGTAGCCGTCAGAGGGCACTCCTGATTGGCTGTTGCCACCTTTAACAGATGTTTCGCTTGTCTACCTCGTCCGGAAGATCTCATCGGAAAAACTCCGCGAGGAAAAATGTTGTTTCAACCAACTATGGCACCCAAAACTAAGTATTGAGAAACGAATGATAACCTTGACTTTGACGAAATTACTTTGACTAAGCAGTCTGTAATTTGCGAGTTTCAACAGAGCAATTAGTATTCCGACAAGAAAAGTGTGAATCACTTGGCGGATGACTTCTATTTTTTTAATCAACAATTATTTTTGGACTATTTGTACTTCAATTGTAATTTCAGAACACTCAAACTAGCCGTATACTGTCTTGTGTATTTACTGTTAGATGTTTTTTCCTTTAACGCGGCAAATGCTAACCGCCAAAATATAGTTTTCTGTCTTTAGGCGTGTTTATCTTAGTGCGTCAGTCCGTAAGGATTTCCCAAACAAACCTGATTTGCCAGGCAGTCAGTTATGACGCATTTTATCATCTAAACCTTCGAGAACACTCTCTCTCTTTCTGTCTCTTCTCTCTCTTTCTTTCTCTGCGACAATAAGCTTTGATTTGCGAGGACTACGTTTTATTTCTGTACTTAGTTAACAGTACGCACTTGTAGAGAGATATTTATATTTTTGATCGGCCATAGCCATCTAACTGTCAAAATGTTATTATTTATTTGCGGTAAGATTTGAAACTTGTGGATTAGTTGGGATTAGAAAGCCATAGTGCTATGTTATAAGATATGCAATGTTTTTATTATCAAGTTGTACGTGCCTAAGATGAAAATCCGTGATCTCTTTTAATAGGGAAAATTATGGTCAAGGAAATGATATCAAAAAAGCCCACACTAACATAGTAATACATAAAACAGATAAAGTATTTCTACTTCAAGCGCGCGCGAGTTTTTGGTGCTACCAAAGTAACCGTGTTGTCAAAAACACTCCCTCAGAAGTTCGTCCAACAATTTCAGAACATTGATGGATGGGAAAGATAGATTAAGTTCTTCAGAGAAAAGTGCATTTTAAAAATGATCTTGGCAACCTTTTAGAAATAGAATCTGGTGGGAAARCTCTATATGGCAATGCGGGTAGTTTTATTCATGAACAAGAAAAGAGACTTTTCTCTGTTGCTGGTCGTACCTGCTGACATAAAAATAACTTTTTCGCTTGTAAATTGCATTCGAATATTGTTTTTCTCCTGTTTCGCCATCATTTTTTTCTTCTATTTATCGAAATTCATATTACACAACCTCAAAGGCTTGCGGTGTTTCGTAATATAAGTGATAATTATTTATTATTTCCGATGATGAAAATGCAAATAAAAACCCATACAAGTTCGCCTGGCGCGTCATATATATTAATCGTGATTTGAACTGTAATATTCTCCTTGTATAGACTTTTAAATCCTTGGTGGGCGTAGACACAAATAGTTTGGCGTTCATTTTTAGTCTAACATRATATGACATTATCTTACGTTGACTATCTTACGTTTTGTGCTACTTGTCAGTTTCGCACGTCAGAACATAAAATATGCACAGTATCGGCTACTGTGTTGCTCAACTGTTTTCCACGCATTATTTACAAGTTATAACAACGTCAGTACTATCTTAGAAGTCAAATCGCTTCTCGTATCCAGTCTATATACTCACACCCAAAGGTAGATGTATAGATTTGGCAACAATTACATTCATTTTGTCGGCAATTTTTCGCTGAAAATTTATGCCTATTGAGAAAAATGGCTTGTACAGGATGTTATGCTATATATTTACATTTATCTTCCATAATTTCCACTGTCAAAACGAGTATTTTTCTGACGTCAGACTACGTACAATAAGTCTTCTTGTTTACGCGTTTGTAGGGAGTACAAAGATGATCTCCTACAGATTTCAAGCCGTAAAATCGTTCGAACGTGACAGCGTTTTCAAAACATCTGGATCGACATCACATAGTTTAATTTACCTTCAAAGCTTGCAAACAAAAGGGAATTTTGACGATGACTTGATCAAAGCTCTGTTTATATTCTACGATTATGTTTAGTGAGACGCTCTCGAGGAACAAATGATTTTGTCATTCATTTTGATGTTGTACAAGATGATAGTTTATTTTTGGTTTTTTGAACGGAAATCCTAATTTACCGTCTGAAACTTGCGATCGTTTTCTAAAAAGTCACCAAGGGTTCTATTGTACCGGTAAGAGGTTTGAAAAGTTGACACGTTTTTAACTTAACCTGAAATCTTTACTATTTTTGCGATGGAAATCCCCAAGTGACAGGTTGAATAAGGTCGTTACTTTTGCTTGAAAACAAGTGTTGAATAAATTCACACAAATGCGTTTTCGCTTGAAYTATTWAATGTTAAGTAATTCCGGTTTCTTTATGTCCTTGCAAAGCAAGGAGCATGGCAATAAATCCGTGCAAGAACACGATTGATTTGTGTAATCATCTCATGCATGGAAAACTCGCTCGGTMGACATGGATTTTCTAGTAGTTCCTGAAGGATTTACAACTCGATAATCATTTTAATATTTTACTCTTMAATCTTCTTAGTTTGTAGTATTAGACTGCGAAAATTAAGTGTTTGAAAGTCTAACCGGTTGTCAAGAGATTACATACCTCTTGTTTTTGTGTTTTTGAGAATAAATTATATATTTCTATACATATTAATAAAGGCTCAACAGGTGARCAGTGTTAGTAATACTCTGACTGGAGTAATATTTCTCACTACAAAATCTACATTGCTTTCTTAATTACACAGATTCGTATATKTGAATCTCTATTGCTATCATTAAASTCACTTTTACTGTGAATTATCCTAAATTTTGTGTATGAGTATCTCCTTTCAGTTCTTGTCAGCTCGCGATAAATTATCATAACCTACCTAAATCCAAAAAATGTGAAATTCAAGGCTTTGTTGGAGAGAAAGCTTACTGCATTAAGTATTTAATCTTTTAAGAATCATCCTCTACGATTGGTTTGATAGTAAAACCAGTCCTAAGTCATTATATTTGGCTATTGATCAAAACATGTTTAGAACAGATGTATAGTTTATTGACAAGTATTAATGATTCTAAAAAGTAAAATTTTCTGACTTAATTTCAACTTGCATCAACTAGATTCTACAGAGTCTTCCAGTTGGACGCTGCAATCAGCACTACCTAATACTTATTTACTCGTAGAAAGGGCCGGTATTTTCGTAATTCCAATTCGTCAAATTTCCGTACTCTGACAAGACTTCCGTTTAAAAATCATTTTTTATATTGAACTGGGTAAGAATTAAGTCAGCAGGATTCCGCCATATTGGCTGCTTTGATCACGGTCTCTCTTCCAAACCGAATCATATCGTCTCATGAATCGCGCCGTTGATATCCTATACTGCCGCTTGAGGCAAAAACTAAATCCTCTATTATTATTCAAATGAATGCAAAAGCAAATACATCCGAATATGTTTTACACTCGTGATTGATTCAAGACATACATGTGTACTATATTATATTCGTAGGYTTGCTCTGTTTCTCAAAAGGCCAGTCGTTTTGATGAACTTACTTTGAAGACGGCATCTTTATACTCTACTCTTAATTATCATTATTTTGCTTAAAAGACTTCCACAACAAAGTCCACTGTACTTTTTTGATGTGACTAAATTACTATTAATGTTTTTTGCATTTGGTATTTGGGTGTTATTRTATTTTCCTAGATAGCTAATTGTGAAATTTGTTTAAGACTAGTTTGTTGATGTTTCATTATTTATTCCCAAAATGCTGTTAACATCATTTCAAACGACAAATRAGTTTCCTGTTACTGTTATGGAAATGAATCGATAAATGTGAAGAGTGCGGCTTTTTTAGTGTTGAATATGACAATAACCATTTTATCCCATCGGCTTTTWAATCCATTTGCATCCGAAAGTTTTCTTTCCTTTTTTTAAGGTGAAGTGTTCATTTTCAATATTTTTTATCACATTTCAAGGTTTTGTTATTCAAATTTGCAAGGTGGATAGCATTTTGTGCTAATTCAAGTTAGTGCTCGGTAAGAAAATGCAATTTATCATAGGATTATCACAGTGAACGACAAACAGACACCATTCCTTTTAGCTCATTACTTGAATGGAATTCATCCTTCAAATTGGGAACTATTAATGGCAACTTTGATATACATTATTCACAATCCCATCTGATAGATCGATTTATACTTATTTAAGAGTTCGTTGTTGGATCACTTCCTATGGGTAAAGCAAACCTTTTCTTCTCCCTTTAATTTTCAAACACCTCAATTCAAACGAGACTTAATTTGAATTAAAGCTGTTTAAACATTATGCTTTGCGTAAMATCACCTTTCAAACAAGCTAAAATCCAGCCGAAATCACTATGAAAAGCGCGGTTTTTCCGCCCGTATGCCACTTTGGCGCCTTTTTGTCTTGCAAGGCTTGGGAGGCGGTTCTTCGTTAGAAAACCCGACGCTTTAACTTTTAGACCTTGACAGAAAAACGTAAAAATCACCGGATTTGGGTAAACGGATATAATTATTCAGTCATGAGTAATGCTTAAAGTATTCTCACCACGTTAATTGATCAACATTTTTATCTTTCCATCTTTCCTTTCTTATTGAAAACCATTCACGTGTTCTGATAGCCTTGAGTGGCCAACTGACCAATCATAAGCCGCGTACAACATAAGTATCATGTAGTTTGATATGAGAATTACGCACAGCCAATCACATGGCAGTGATTTCTAATGATTTGACTGTACAGCTGAGTCTAGGCGAGGCCTTCAGGAAATTGGTTCGTTTGTAGAATCGAATAAGTTTGACAACATTAGGGGGAATTGCAAGTCTTGCGATCAACTTGTGAACAATTATGTSTTATGTGTACACCTAGATTAGTTTGAAAATGGTCTCCTCTCAGTAATTGTTACTGATCTTTTCTTGTTAAAGTAGGYTGTATGACAATATGATAATATTAATACTAGAGACTCCAAAGACGAATATCATGAGATAAGTAAGATCAGACGCGGCCATAACTGAAGATAATGATTCCTAACAAACAGCTTTATAACGATCTGGGAGTTCGTTCTTGTCACATATCTTTTATTTTTCTTGAATTATATTCCTCAAAACTAAGCCTACATTGATAATGTATTTTGGTCTATTATACTAACGGTCGGCGGTGTAATTTATCATATCTTGAAATYGCTCAGTGCATCCACCTGAAGCAAATGGCATTTGTGCTGAGTCATTCCGTACTTTCGTGCAGCCTAAAATAGGCCTAACAAAGTGGAAAATGTTTATTCCAATTAAAAATACGTGCTCGTGAATGTAATTAAAGAATGAAAACATAAACCTTATTTTTTTAAAAAAACGCAATTTATAATCGGGGCGCTCCCACAACAATCCCATAATCCTGTGGAACAACAATTTCATTATGTCCTCTCGTGATTTGTATAACCTTAGATCTTTTCCAAGTCGTTTTTTTATTTATGCTGTTTTCAATATACTGGGTTTTGAACATTTTTTGGAAAATTAATCCATAATTATATTAATCAAAATAAACAAAATTTAACTGTAATTTGTGTTTTTTTAGTGGATGAGTCCATTAGAGATTGCGACTCACGATAAACAGTTCGCTATACCACGCTAAATGTTAACATTCAGAAGTTGTCTTCCCCTTTACTGTGACGCTAAACGTCTATTTCTATTTCTATTTATTTTTCTGTGAAAGTGGACGCAACCAAGGCGAATACAAACGTTGATCTTAGAGAATGCCGGAGGCTGTTTCAATATGAGTAAAAAGAGGAGTTTAGCCCAAAGGCTTCTGCATTCTAATAATCCTTCAAGACGCAAACAACTGACAATATTTACTGTTTTGTCTGGGAAATTCGAAAAATAAAGTACTAAGTGTYAAGTTAGCACTATTAATTCTATCATATATCCGACCCGTTACCTTGATTATTCTTGCTTTCCATTCTCGAAAGAGAATCTCTTTGCAAACGGGCTGAAAATTTATTATAATTGTATRGTGTTTCAGTGAATCCCATCAAACGCATTGTTCAACCAAAACAATGATAATTTAACGTTGATAATAGCTACAATGCAGTTGCTTCGACATAATTGTTTTTGTGCCAAATCAGTTTTGTYAGGAGCTTATTTCAACRATAGTTTTCAGCGAGATTTTCGAATTTAGTTGCTGAAAGCAGTCTACCTCGCTAGTACCTTGCTAACACACTGTTACGTTTYGCCTTAAAAAATCTATATATCACCATAGTTAGTACTAACTCTGATAACGCCTGATAAATATGGAAAAGATGTCTCCACTGACACATATACCAATGACATTGAAATCCATTGAAATATAAAAAGTAAAAAAGTGTATCAGTTTGACAGTCATTTGCACTATCATATGTATGAGCATCTTTTTACTAGAACTGTTTGAAAGCTCTGCATATTTTAATTTTTGAGTTCGTATTTTGTCCACCCCAATGAGGGGCATTGACCACTTCCACTATATTAGCTTGATTTCGAAAGTTCACTTCGAGAGCTTGTCTCCTCCCGCTGAGATTGACCTTAAGTGGTGGGAAATGGGACTGCACCGTAACTTTGGTACGATTGGGTGAATTATGAACTTGTTTTGGTAATAACCGCTGACAAGTGTCTCTAGAATTTGATGAGTTTGAGTGCGTAAAATGGCTACAATAGTTKTTGATGTTGYTCAATTTGAATTAGTACCACGCAAATCATAGTTAAACATCTACTCAAAGTTTTATTTTATTCATTCAATAAGCAGCTACAACGATACATACAAAAAGAGGTTATGATACACTAAACTAAACTACAATGCGCTGAAGTTATATTTCTGAAACTGTTCACGCAGTATAATGATTCAGGAAAAATAATTCAAGAAGTATTGGTTATCATGTTTTGAGGTTATTTTTCGGACAACTGTTTTGATGAAGGAATGCACCTGCTTAATTTTCACCAATAGCTTAATTTTCACCTAAGCAAATCGACAAAGCTATATATATCAAGAGAGACACTGTGCAGAAATCGGAAAAGTTTCAACTATCAATTCATTGCCAAATATCTAAGAAGTGTTCCATTAACACATCCCCAAAATGGATCATATAGTCCATAGATTATGCAATTATCAGTGCTATAAACGGGTGACAATCTTATGTGGAAAGGGCCACCAGTCCCGCATATGTCACGATCGTCCACATCGACAGCTGTGCAATGGGAAYTGCTGGAATTTTTAGCAGGTATAATATCTGCAAGAAAGCGATCCGTTCCTGTTTCCTTTCATTGTAGTGTTTCTTGATCGTCTACTTTGCTGTAAAATAGTGTAATGACATTCTGTTTTTCAGCCGTGTCGAACGAATTTCCAGATCGATTAAGACCCTGTGTCCACGATGAAAGAAAAGGTATATACAATCTGTAACAATATAACTCAACTGAGGCTAAAGGATGTTACATGCATTGAATAGCACCATTTTAGGCCATATTTGACATTCTGACAGTCTGCATCATTGAGATATTCAAAGAGAAAAACAGTTTAAATCTGCAAATAACATATTAGTAAGAGTCATAATGACTCAAAAAGGTATACCCACCTGACTGTACTAAAGTACTACCACAAAGTTTTTTGATTGTTTGGTTTCTTCTCAAACCCGCTTTAAGGCATTGGGAATATTATGGGAAGAACAGCTGTTTACCGGCGGCTATAAAGACTGTTTGCGCATTAGGTACAGAGCAAATAAAAACAAACATCATTAGGTTTTMCATGCGTGTTTCACATKGAATAATTTATCGAAAAAAAGTTACATATGCATAATGTCATGTAATATGAATTGAATAAAAGGCTGTGTGGCTGGTTAATCGTAAAAATAAATGGAATGGAAAGATTTCATGTGACTGCAACGGCACGGATCGTGGAGCGGTCACGGAACATCGCCTGGAATTAATCCTGTAAAACGCACGGTTACGGCACCGGTGCTAAATGAGGTSCGATGTTTGTATCTCAGGATCGTATTTTATATATATCTTTGTATTGGTGTCTCGAAAAAAAAGAGAAATGAAACTTAATTATAAAAAAATCTTTAAAAGATGTAAAATGTATAAATGTGGTCAATTGAATATTGAAAATCACGCATGTAGGATTTTTCTCGAAGAAAAATTTGTTTTTGTTTATTAAAAAGGCCTCATGTGTTATTCATTTTCGATAACATATTTTTATCATTGCTATTTGTTTGYTGTTTCTTTTTATGCTTCTTGCAAAAGATAATATACCCGGCACTGCATCGRTTCAGTTTTATTTAATGTTATTTGTATGAGTACAATTCGATGTTTGAAAACTCTTCAGTTTCGCTGTCAAATCAATTGCATGTGACAAATCAAAATGATGGAGACTTGAGATAAACTAGTGTGAGCTGCGTCGGTTTTTTAAAGAAACAGTTGTGTAAAAWGATAAATTAATTTAACACCGTAAAGTAGGTGAAAAAACTTACTGACTTTTCAGACGTTAATCCGTAGGAGTAAAGAGTGTCAAATCAAAGTGCAAAACATTTTGGTTCAACCTGGCTCAACCCGTAAAATAGTTAAGCTCTCTGTGTCAAACGGARCAAAACTCCCGGTACAATCCGTCGAGTTCTAGAGAAGGTCTACAGAGCTAACAATAGCGTAATAATGGCATTCTAAAGTMATATTATACTAGAGTGTTAGACCAGTGTGCTCTAAACTCAAGAACAGTAAATGTACATGTCAGTTGAAAGTGCCAATGAACAGGTAGTTTTACGAGTTTCAACGGGTACACCATGTGCAGTGAATACTAGATGAATGATTATCGTCGAGCACACCAAACAACCACGGYGGAAGACACAAACTGAACACCAGTAAAGGACCTCTAAACATAGTTCTTATCMCACTGGTTGCCTTAACCTTGCTAGGGTAATGTTTAATTTTATTTGATTGATAGGTGTGGCTTTKCAACAGGTCTGCTTCAGGGCTTTTGGGTGTATATTGGATCCCACGGGAAACTTTATAGGTTTATCAATTATCACCGCTTTTTCAGCCATGTTCGTTGTTCAGTTACTGAGGTATTATTTACTAATAGCTTTCGAAACTAGCATCCGATAAGACTCTCGATCAATCATCCTCCCCGGCTCCCACCCCTTATTGATGGTGTTAGTATGACTATCCCAAGGTTTTCCAATCTCGCGTGATTGACGCGTGATGTTTCATCATCATCATCAGTGGTCGTTTATAAGAAGCATAACGCTATGCACCAGATAAATCTTTATCCAGTAGATAAAATCCATATTACAATCTAAGGATAACTTTTTCCTTGCCCTTCTTACAACAGGGCACAGTAGAACAGATGTCTAGCTCAACTGATCAGATGTTGAACAGTTGTTTCTGATCAACGAGTTCTTTCATGAACAGTGTACATCGATTTCATGGTGTGTTACAGTTACGCTCATCCTAAAAGAACTATAATGTAATACTAGAATCGGCACTAGAACCGGGGGGGGGGGGGGTTCTCCGATATATTTGCTATTCGGGGACGTGCCGCTGTCCAGGGTATGGTTTTTGGCCTTGCTGTCTTTAACAGGGTGTACATTTCACCCAAAATTGTCTTAAACAGGCTCTACAATTTAGGCAAAAGACCGATATATTTTTTTTTTGTGTCTTAGACAGGTAATATTTTCATAAGAAATACCGTATAGTAGAAATACCGTTTCACTGTCCCAGGATTAACGTGTTATCAAAAACTTCTTGTCTTTGATGGATGTCAGTATAATTGCACTTTTGATGGTTGCGGCGCAGATAGCTATTCCTTATTTTTCCGATTTGTCTTGAACAGGGTATGGATTTTCACTTTCTAGTGTCTTAAACAGGGTCAGGAATTTAGCTGGCGGTACTAGAAATTGATGTGGAGAACAGTGCATGCAAAAAAGAGCAAGTCTACAAGTTTTCGTAACTAAACAATTAAATGTTAAGGACATGGATCGTCATGCACAAAATAACTCGACCCAATTTATTTAAAATCTTCATTAAAYCCTCTTCTGTTGAACATCCCATTCTCTTGGGCTAGCCCCTGCCTCAAAGTAATATTCTTGTCATGTGATTGGCCAGGTTAGATATCGTGTAACTATAATTACTTTGAAGTCGCGGGGCGCAAGGCACAAGCTTAAAAGTCCGGTGTTTCTCTTGTTTTATTGTTCTACTTTAAGATTCTTTTGTTATGAACTGCTTTTGAGATAGTAATTTGTTCTGAACTGCTCATACGAGCAACCAGTTCTTACACTCTATGCAGCCTATGGGCCTGTAGAGGCCTATCCCACAGCCTGCGGTTTCCATGATGGGCTAGTGGAGAATTCTGGGAATGTGGATCAAGAGAACTGGGAAACTCAAAATATATTGAATAACAACAGAAGACGATAAATTAAGTGAAAACGTTTTCATGTTCTTTTGTAATAAAAGACAATTTCACTCTGTAAATACTTGTAAGAAASGATTAAACCCAAGATTACATTAGGCTCTTTGAGAGAATTATTTCAAAACGTCTCGTTAAATATTAAATTYTGTCCTATTGAAAGGTTTCATATTATTATTATACATTAATCTTCCGTGTTCTTAAACCACAGATATTCTATTCAAACACATGGTGATATGAAAACAAGGCTATATTCATAAACTACAATCGTGGAAAACTCTATAATTCCTTTCCTCAAGTGGGAGATTTTTTCTTGACCTTTCTTCCTTTTTCATATTTGATAGTTTCTAGTTCCAAYTGTGCCATCTCAGTCATTCTGGATTGGAAGCTTGGTGGGGCCCCAGTCAAGGGGTCTGGGTATTTGGAACCTGTCAACCAATCAGATGTAAAGTTAAGCATCATTTTTGGGAAAATATTTTGGGAACAATTACTGTCAAATGGTCCTTTTTGCAACAACAGCTGAAATTTATTTGCAATGCAGATTACATGCATATGATTGTGGAATGCAAATTATTTGCAGTTTTGTTAATGAAAAAAGTAATGGAAGGATGGCGTCCATCGGCCTCCATAAATTTGCTGTCAACTAGTACAATGTCATTAGGACAGGGAAGAAATCTATAAGTTAGATTAGCTCCCATAGGCAAACCAATCCTTCCTTTTCCCCCGCCAATGCGACCCCATGATTCTTAATAAAATACTCACCTTTTAGATTGAGAGTGGTTTTAGTTTTCCACCTGTAAAAAAATTAATTAGAGACAATGAGCTCTGTTACAAAGTACAATTTGATGCATAATATTAGTGAATATACAACAATGATTTACATAATTTCAAAAATATAAATATGACATCAAAGAGGCAAGATTTTGCTGTAACTCCGAAATACTGTCTGATGAGTGCGTAGCACGAAACTCGGACAGCAAAATTTTGCCTGTTTGATATCATATATATAACTAGCTCTACACTTTATGTGTATTGAGCACTCTTTAATGGGATAAGCCACTTCCTCATACGATTAATTTCAAAAATATCATCTTAAGAAAAAAACACTACAACAACAAATTGAAATTGAACAAATAGTTTGCAGGTTATAACTGTGAAATGATGAGAGCAAAATGCTTGGAATATCATTATATGACTCACCTTGATTGAGGTTTTGGTGGTGCTTGGCGTTGTGAGGTCATTGATATTGTTCCAATAGCGATGAGATCTGTGGWATCTCTTGGAGAATTTGGTATTGAAGCACTCCGACTGAAGGTGAAAGGCAGCCTTGTAGATGGCCGGAATGAACCAGTCTTAAATTTATCTTGATTTTCACAGACATCAATGAGATCTTCCTCTGTGCTGAGCTTACATTTACCAAGATGTAGAATTCTGTTATATATTTGCTCTTGTTCGTTGCTGCTGCTGTCTTGTGCACTGGAGGATGCAGTTGGACTACATAAGATATCTCTTTTAGGGTAGTTGTTATTGGTAAGGTGAAGACTGCTCTTAACCTTGGATTGRACTCTAAAGGAATAAAAACTTGGAATATTAGGAATTTTGTAACTTTCCAGTATGTATAGACAACCTCCAGGTCTAATGCTTTTAGCAATTGTGTTACTTATTTAATGTCAGCACTTCCTGTTTTCTAGCTTTTAGCAGGGTTCTCAGTAAAAGCCGGCAGCTGGCGAAAAATCGCTGGTTATAGCTTAGCTAATCGCCTGATACTTACAAATTTATTTGACTTACAAATCTATTTGCAAATTGTTTGTTACTGTTTCTTATAAGAGATTGCAGAAAACAGACGGCCACATGTACTTGTTCTATTTTGACATCTCAATTCTACTTTAATTTTTACTGAAAACTGTTAAGAAGAGCTGCAGTGCCTTACATGTAGTTAAGAATTATAACTGTAATTCAATGGTTTGCTGYACTATAATTTTCTCATTGTCAGACTACTATATACCTACATAGTTGCTTCATCTACTGTATGGACTTCAATGCTGACCGACTTTACTAAAGGGTGTCAATTAAACAAGTCCAGCGCTTAATATCATTTGTAGAAAAAAATTACTCTAGAGTACTAGTAATAGAAATTATTTGAAAACATGTTCATTATAAACTAAACAGAAAATACTGTGTAGCTTTTCAWTGCTAAAACATTGTTAGATACACAGCACTGTTACGCGTATACAATACATTAAAATAATTGCAAATAATCTTTTAAACAAAAGTCCTTTGCAATCAACAAGCCACAAGATTATAAACTTTCGAGAACACTAATTATGTTGGCTTTGAGGTAATTTTCATTGTTAGTAAAGGTTCTGTAAAAAGTTGACTTTGAAGATGTGCCTAGATAAAAATCTCACAAAAGTTAAACTATTTCTAATTACCAGACAAGTTTATTATGCATTGGTTGTTGCGAAGGAATTAGTAGCCCACTGCATTTATTTACACAATTTTTAGGTTTCTTTGTAAACTATACTGCCTTATCAAGGTAACTCTTCTATTCACTCAAGTAAGAAATACTAAAACTAGTAAAGTTTACCTTGATTTCGGACGTTCGTCGGTTTTATTAACTGGTTCAAATCCGGTTTCTGCTGTAATCTTCTTGTCGAAACCAAGTGGTTCTAGAAGACAATTTGAAAAGTTTCGAGAGTGGATCCAGACTTTCTTTTCACTCACAGTATGAAGGAAAAAATTGATCAAATGCTTACTTAATAAATATCTCTGTCTAGCTTGGCAAAATCGTCTAGGACTATGAGCGGCCATGAAAGTATCTAATGATGTAAAAGGTGTCGATGCTGGAGGACGCATTTTCAAAGTCACAACACTGCTTCCAGAAGAATGCTTCCAAAGCGGTGATACACAGGCAATTCTAGGATCTAAACCAAACTTATCTCTACCATGGGCCATGGCATAGCTTTCGAGATGGCTAAGATTTGTATTTTAAGCCGATAAAACATGGAAATATTGGATGTTTGTGCTCGATCACATTTTCTTGTCCCGGTTTTGTTCAAGTGTAAACGAGATGAACGATGTCTCCTGGGAACCACACTCAGTTGCCTAGCAACAGTGAGAACAATAATATATTCAAATCTTTTTGATTTTTTGGCTTTTATTTATTTATTTTGGCCTTTATTTTTATTTTTTTAGAAAAAAAATATTTTCAGAAATTGTTCACATTTTTAAGAATATTTGATTTAAATTTTATAATTTTAAAAGCTACTGGCCTCATATGATTAATTTTTAAAACTCATTACTTCAGAAAAGTATTTTTAGACATCTTTTTTCAAGTTATTTCTGTAAATTTTAACTATTTATTTGAGAAGTAAAGATACAGACTTGGCT